ATTCGGGCTGCGACCAGAGTCACGGAACGAATTAAGTTCGTAAACCGAGGTTCCACTGTACTTTGTTTCTGTTCTTTTGGTAGTTCTCGCTTACTGGCTGCTTGTTCAGTTTGAAGTTACAGTGGTGCTGAAAAGGGAGGTTTACGACTGGTCCTCAAAACTGCAGCCATCGCAGCAATTGGGGCACTTTGTAATTGGCACATATTTACAATAGTTGCGGCGTCCTGCAGTTACACAATCGCCATTTGCAACCTTCACAGCTGGCTTCCAACAAACAAAGTCAGTGGGGAAGCTGGCAGGAAGTCACAAGTCGCAGTCACATGATGTCGCACTTAACAACCATGGGTAATTTGCTTCACGACTGCAGCTGGAACTGATGTCGTAAGTCGGGTGCAGTTACATGATGTTTCACTTAACAAATGTGTCACTTAGCAACAGAGTTGCTGGTCCTAATTGTGTTCAGTAAGTGAGGACTACCTGTACTTTAAAATTAATATAGTTTTAAATAAGTGTTTTTAGTAGGCTTTCCTGAATGTTATTATTTGTAAACTCTGTTAAACTGATAATTGGTTTTATAATGGTTAAAAACAGTCCCCCAAAAGAAGACCATGACTTATTAGGTAAAGCTAAAGATGTCATCAAATCCAACTCAATCTCTGCGATTCCATGAAAACACTTATGTAGTTTTCTTGCAAACAGTACAGAAGAGATTTGCCATTGTCTTCTTTCAGGATTTTTTCCCCCCAATTTCCCAGTCTAGCCTTTAGCCCTGGGGTTTATGGTTGTCTCCCATCCATTACTAACTTGTTCCAATTCTGTTAAGCATTTTTGAGCTCAGTCAAGATCTGCCGTGTCTCCTTGGAGTTGAGCTGGTGATGTTATCAACATATCCATCCATGTTGTTTTCTTGGGAAAAAACTAACATTCTTTGATAGTAGCTTCTGGGATTTTTTCCCATCTTCTGAGTCTGGCCTTATGATCTTGAAATTTCTTTGTGAGCTCCCATCCAAGTCCTAATTAGGCTGGCCCTGTTTAGCTTCTGAGCCCAAAGTTAGCTGGGTATGTACATATGGATTATTTACACCAGTGATGGTGAACCTATGATGTGTGTCAAGGGTGACACGCCACAACGTTTTGGGTGACACACCAGCATTCACCAACACCTGACAACAAG